AGGTCTCACCAAGTTGCCCAGGCGGGTCTCGAACCCGCGAGCTCAGGCAATTCACTCACCTCGGCCTCCCAAAGTGCAAGATTACAGGCTAAGCCACTGAGCCCGGCTATTTTGTTTTATATATAGGTATACATACACATTTTAAGAGATGTTGGCCGGGCCCAGTGACTCAGCCTGTAATTCCAGCACTTTGGGAGGCTGAAGTGAGTGGGTTGCCTGAGCCTGCAGATTTGAGACCAGCCCGGGCAAACTTGGCGAGACTTTGTCTCTACAGTTAAAAAAAAAAAAAAATTAGCCAAGCATGGTAGCATAGGCCTGTAGTTCCGGCTACTTGGAAGGCTGAGGCAGAAGGATCGCCAGAGCCCAGCGGGTTGACGCTGAGGTGGCTGTGAGTGTGCCACTGCACTCCAGCCTGGACAATGGAGTGAGACTCCAACTCAAAAAAAAAAATAGGATGTTATTTATGTATTACTTTTTAATGTTGAATTAAATTATGGTAGCAATGTGTAGTGTGACATTCACTCAACTGTGATTTCACCATTTTCTTTGACTGTCCTGCCTATCCATCTTTTGAGCAAACGTCGTACTTAAAATGCATATATATTTTTTTGGCATCTCGTGTGTGTGTATGTGTGTGTGTGTGTGAAATTTTTATGGTTAGGTTCTGCTAAGTTTAATTTTTAATGTTGGTCTACTACATTTTGAACTTGAAAATTCTGGACACAGAAGTTCTGACCCTGGTAAGACATCATGAATGACTTTCTTCTACCCCTGAAAAAATTTCTTAACATGTTAAAACCAAAAAAGTTAAATGACAGCGTATTTCTTCATTCCCTAGGGCTGTTTGCAGGAAGCACGAACTTATGCAGTATGACTTGGAGATGGCCGCTCAGGACTTGGCATCCAAGAAGCAGCAGTGTGAGGAGCTGGCAACTGGGGTGAGTGTTTTCCTTAGGTCTCTTCTACTCTTGTGGTAAGACTTATGTGGAACCAGCTGCAGTCACTGTACTCAGGATGCCTGCACCTTTTATAGTTTGTGAGTGACTTTATACTTATTTGGCTGCTATTTTGATATAAAAAGAGGTAAGCCATTAAGATCATTCACTGTGCCAGGTGTGGTGGCTCCAGCCTGTAATCCCAGCACTTTGGGAGGCCGAGGCGAGAGGATTGCCTGAGCTCAGGGATTCGAGATCAACCTGGGCAACATGGTAAGACCTCGTCTCTACAATAAGTCAAAAAATAAGCCAGGTGTGGCAGCATGTACCTGTAGTTCCAACTACTTAGAAAGCTGAGTTGGAATGATCGCCTGAACCCAGCAGGTAGAGGCTGCGGTGCCTGTGAGCGTGCCACTACACTCCAGGCTGGGCAACAGAGTGAGAATCCGACTCAAAAAAAAATCATGCACTGTATAGTAAGAAATGTTACCAACATTCCTCTGTGTAAAAAGTAGCATTTAGAGCTGGGCTCAGTGGCTCAGCCTGTAATCCCGCGCCTTTGGGAGGCTGAGGTGAGTGGATTGCCTGAGCCCCCGGGTTCGAGACTCGCCTGGGCAGCGAGACCTCATCTCTACAATAAATCAAAAAATCAGCTGGGCTTGGTAGCGCATGCCTGTAATTCCGGCTACTCGGAAGGCTGAGATGGAAGGATCGCCAGAGCCCATCAGGTCGAGGCTGCGGTGACCAGAAGCGGCCACTGCACTCCAGTCTGGACGACAGAGTGAGACTCCAACTCAAAAAAAAAACAAAAAGAAAATGCAGCAGAAAGGCCAGGGAAAATTACTGTTGGTCACGAGTAGATTCCATCTGAATCTATCTGACTTCCTTATGTAAGTTAATTCTGGGATATTTGTTTGCATTCTTAGTGCACAGAGGAAGTGATATATGTTCAACCCATGCACACAGACACACACATACACCAGTGAACTACAATCCTCTATTAACAATCCTGAAATGCAAAATCTCTAAACACAGGGCTTTTTTTGTTTTGTATTGTTTTTGAGTGAAACTGATCAGTACTAACCAGAAATCTTTTTGTGCCTTATTTGGCAACTAACCTTAACCTGACCTGAAGTCATTTGGTAACAAAACCTGACTTTGAATGACTGAGGCTATTTATGTTTTTTCCTCACTCAGTGAGAGGAATTATGAACTTGTACATAAATGATTCAACTAAATAACCATGGCTCTGGAATAAAAAATTTTACCTCAAAAGCACACATTTTAGCTGGGTGCAGTAGCTCAAGTCTGTAATCCCAGCAATTTGGGAAGCAAGGTGGGAGGACTGCTTGAGTCCAACCTGGGCAACACAGTGAGACCACATCTCCATTAAAAAAAAAAAAAGTGCCGGGCTTGGTGGCTCAGCCTGTAATACTGCACCTTTGGGAGGCTGAGGTGAGTGGATTGCCTGAGCCCGGGGGTTCGAGACCCGCCTGGGCAACTTGGCAAGACCTCATCTCTACAATAAATGAAAAAAATTATCCGGGCATGGTAGCGTGCGCTTGTAGTTCCAGCTCCTTGGAAGGCTGAGGCGGTAGGATCGCGGAGCCCAGCAGGTCGAGGCTGCGGTGGCCGGGAGCGGCCACTGCACTCCAGTCTGGGCGACAGAGTGAGACTCCAACTCAAAAAAAAAAAAAAGTAGCATTCAGTTTCTAAGTTCATATTTTTCCAGTGTTAGAAGTCATCTGAGGAGTGCCCTGCTTGTGAGACTTATGGTAGTTTTATCTGAGCTAGGGTAAAAATGGCAAATGTTTTCTATTTCTTTTTTGTGTGTATGTGGTTAAATATACATAACATAAAATTTACCATTTTGACCATTTTTAAGTACACAGTTCAATAGTATGGTCATCCCTTGGTATCCACAGAGGACTGGTTCCAGAACCCTCACAGATACTCAGATCCACAGATGCTCAAGTCCCTTGTATAAAATGTCATAGTGTTTGCATACATTCTACGCACATCCTCATATATATATTAAGTAACTCTAGATTTCTCACACTACCTGACACAAAGTAGATGCTATGTAAATAGTTGCTATACTGCATTTTAAAAATTTGTATTAACTTTTATTATTGTATCCATCCTTTTTTATTCTTTTCCAAATATTTTTGATCTGTGGTTGGTTGAAGCCATGGATGTGGAGGGCCAACTGTACTGAGTACATTCACACTGTTGTCCAGCCAGTCTCTAAAACTGAAACTGTGTCCCATTAAACAACACCGCCCCTCTTCCCTCCCCTCAGCTCCCAGAAGCCGCCATTCTTCTTCCTCTAGGATCTTGACTGCTCTAGGCCCCTCACATGAGTGGAGTTGCATGGTGTATATCTTCTTGTGACTGGCTTATCTCACTTAGCATAGTGTCCTCAGGGTTCATTTGTGTTGTAGGTCATGTCACAATTTTGTTTCTTTTTAAGGCTGATATTCCATTGTATGTAATGCCACATTTTTTTTATCTGTTTATCTGTTTTGGTTTCCTCTTAGACTGTGAGAACATTCTCTTTGAAGGGAATGACTACCAAGCTCTTCGGTCAAGAAACTCCAGAGCAGAGAGAAGCCAGAATAAAGGTACTAGAAGAACAAATAAATGAAGGAGAACAGCAACTAAAGTCTAAAAATCTGGAAGGAAGGTAAAAATACCGAGATGTTTAACAAAGCTAGACTTGTAGACTACATGCAGATTGTTTTTATTATAACAGTTCCCACCAGGCTTGGTGGCTAAGCCTGTAATCCCAGCACATTGGGAGGCCAAGGTGATTGAATTGCCTGAGCCCACGGGTTTGAGACCAGCCTGGGCAACTTGGCAAGACCCCATCTCTACAAAAAAAAAAAATGCTAGCCAGGTGCAGTAGCACGTGCCTGTAGTTCTGCCTACTTGGAAGGCTGAGGCGGAAGAATTGCTGGAGTCAACACTGTAGTGGCGTGAGCGTGCCACTGCACTCTGACCTGGGCAACGGAGCAAGATTCCAACTCAAAAAAAAAAAACAAAAAAAACAGTTCCCAGCTTTTTTAGGTTGCATTTCTAAGACATTTGAATTATCAAAAGTCATGTTATAGAAATGGTTGTTTTCGTGTGGGGAAGAGAGGAAGAAGAGTGGAGCGTTAGCTACATAATACAACCTTTCTGCGCCTTCTTGCTTTCTGGCCTTTGCCCTTTCCCTCTGCCCTCTCTTCTCCCCCATTTAGCAAAGCCTGATGATCCTTCAGGACCCAGCTCAGTGTGACCTCGTTGTGACGCCTGCGGTTATCCTCTCAGGCCATCATAGCATGAGATGATAACTCCTACCATGGGAGCATGGCAGTTTGCTCTGGGTGGTAGGTTGTTCTGTGTGATTGTCCCTGGCTAAGTTGGGAGCCCTTCGAAGTCCATGAGCGTGTCTTTTTCTTTTCTTTTTTTAAAAATAGGGAATGCTTCACGAATTTGCGTATTATCCTTGCACAGGGGCCATGCTAATCTTCTCTGTATTGTTCCAATTTTAGTATATGTGCTGCCAAAGTGAGCACTGTGTCTTTTTCTTTATGTCCCAGCGCCTTGTATAGGGCTTGGCATGTAATTGTTCCATAAATATTTCTAAAAATACAGTTCTTGGCTGGGCATAGCAGCTCACACCTATAATCTGAGCACTTTGGAAAATTGAGGTGAGACGATTGCCTGAGCCCATGGATTCAAGACCAGCCTGGGCAACTTGGTGAGACATCACCTCTATAATAAATCAAAAAATTAGCTAAGCATGGTGGCATGCACCCGTAGTTCCGGCTACTTGGAAGGCTGAGGCAGAAGGATCGCCGGAGCCTAGCAGGTCGAGGCTCTGGTAGCTGTGAGCTTGACACTGCACTCCAGCCTGGGCGACAGAGTGAGAGACTCCAACTCAAAAAAAAAAAATACAATTCTCAGAAATCTGCTATTACTGTTGGACTCATTTTTCTTATTGTTTTTTGTCATCGTTTGTTAATTTTTAGGACTATTGGCAACAAATAAGACCAAACATTCATGAACTAAGTTAAAAAGACCAATGCCCCTCAGAATTTTTAAAACTCCAGTTCTCATTTAAAGCAAGTATAGGCTAGTGCCAGGCACAGTGGCTCACAGCTATAATCCCAGTGAGGTAGGAGAATCACTTGAGACTAGGAATTTGAGACCAGCCTGGACAACATAGTGGGATTCTGTCTCTATAAAAAATAAAAATTAGCCAAGCATGGTGGCATGCACCTATAGTCCTAGCTACTTGGGAGGCCGAGGTGGGAAGATTGTTTGATCCCAGGAAGTCAAGGATGCAATGAGCTATGATCGCACCACCGCACTCCAACCTGGGTGACAGAGTAAGATCCTGTCTCTAAAAAAATTTTTTAAATATAAAACAAGTACATGCCAAATGTGATTCATAATCCATCTTGTCAAAAGAATGTATGTAACCCGGCGTGGTGGCTCAAGCCTGTAGTCCCAGCATTTCAGGAGGCTGAGGTGAGGGGATTGCTTGAGCCCATGGGTTTGAGACCAACCTGGACAACTTGGTGAGACCTCATCTCTACAATAAATTTTAAAAATTAGCCGGGCGTGGTAGCGCGCACCTGTAGTTCCGGCTACTTGGAAGGCTGAGGCGGAAGGATCGCCTGAGTCCAGCAGGTCGACGCTGGGATGGCCGTGAGCGTGCCTCTGCACTGCAGCCTGGGCACTGGAGTGAGACTCCAACTCAAAAAAAAAAAGAGTGTATGTTTTCCAGTGACCCAAGGATGGCACTTGATTTCATTGTGGCATTTGTGAGCTGCTTCAAGAAGTCATCTAGGCCAGGCCCAGTGGTTCACGCCTGTAATCCTAGCACTTTGGGAGGCAGAGTTGAGAGGATTACCTGAGCCCATGGGTTGGAGACCAGCCCGGGCAACTTGGTGAGACCTCATCTCTACAATAAATAAATAAAATTAGCTGGGTATGGTAGTGCACACCTGTGGTTCCATCTACTTAAGAAGGCTGAGGTGTAAGGATCACCTGAGCACAGCCGATTGAGGCTACGGTGGTCGTGATTGTGCCACTGCACTCTAGGTTGGGCCACAGAGTGAGACTCCAACTCAAAAATAATAATAAAATATTTTTAAAAATTTAAAAGTCACCTATACCTACTTTATAGAATCATTTGAAGGTAGAATCTTTGTAGCAAAAATTTAGATTAACATATAGAAGAATATATGCCTATTTCTCTGCTTTATTCTTTACTATAATGTTTAAGAAAAGATAGAACTATCGGCAACACCCTTGGCTCCCCCTCCCACCTTGGGAGCTTTTCTGTCCTCTCAATAAATCCTGCTTCCAAAAGAAAAGAAAAGATGGAACTGTTTTATACAAACAGTACCCTCCTTCTGCATAGATAATTAAAAAACTCAAATGAGAACTGGTTGGTTGAATTTATAATATATAGTTACTTAATTTAAATAAGAATAACAAGCATGCCAAAAAAAAAAGGCTCCGTGGCTCAGCCTGTAATCCCGCGCCTTTGGGAGGCTGAGGTGAGTGGATTGCTTGAGCCCGCGGGTTCGAGACCCACCTGGGCAGCGAGACCTCATCTCTATAATAAATCAAAAAATCAGGCGGGCGTGGTAGCGCATGCCTGTAATTCCGGCTACTCGGAAGGCTGAGGCCGGAGGATTGCCAGAGCCCAGTGGGTCGAGGCTGCGGTGCGGCCACTGCACTCCAGTCTGGGTGACAGAGTGAGACTCCAACTCAAAAAAAAATAAAAAGAATAACAAGCCGGGTGTGGTGGCTTACACCCATAATCCCAGCACTTTGGGAGTGTAAGGCAGGAATATCTATTGAGCCCAGAAATTCAACACCCCATCTCTACCAAAAAATTATGAAAGTTAGCTAGGCATAGTGATGTGCTCCTGTAGTCTCAGCTACTGAGAAGGCTGGGTGGGAGGTCCACTTGAGCCCGGGAGGTAGAGGCTGCAGTGAGCCATGATTGCACCACTGCCTTCTAGCCTGGGTGATAGAGTGAGACCCTGTTTAAAATAAGTACATAAGAATAATAATGATACCTTTTATTTCAGAGAATTTGTGAGAAATGCGTGGGCTGACATTGAACGCTTCAAAGAGCAAAAGAATCGCGATCTGAAGGAGGCGCTCATAAGCTATGCAGTCATGCAGATCAGCATGTGCAAGAAGGTGGGCGGGGCTCCTGGGGCTTCTGCACTCAGGAGCCAAGGCACTTTGATGTTCTCTTAGCTCGGAAGCATCTCTTATTTTCATTTTCATTCATTTTCCCTTCTAGAACATTTCCCAATTTCTCTACTGAATTTAGAAATAAATATTTCATCAAAATGTCAGTTACAAAGTCTCCACTCTGTCTAAAGTTCCAAATTTGTATCCCCATTTATAGCTTTATTTGAAATATTTACCAACATTATTTTGATAATGTGATGTTCTTGGATAGAAAAATACCATTCCTAATCTACAGTTTGAAAAATAGCTTGAACATCATTTGAGAAAAATGTGGTTATGACCTAGTTTGTTGGTAAAGCAAATCCTTCATGTTGCTGATATCCTTGGTAAAAGATTAAACATTGACGCTTATTCGAGTTAAAATAAATGTTTGACAATAACGGAAGTCTTTCTAAAATGCTGCCTGCCCTAAAAAGAAAATAGAACACAGTCCTTAACCTTTTTTTGTAACCTGAGATCTGTCAATGTAACTACCAGTACTAATGTTTCACATTTGTCTAGCATGTCATAATTTTTTTTTTAATTTATTTTTTGTTTTAGAGATAGGGTCTCGCTATGTTGGCCAAGCTGGTCTCAAACTCCTGGCCTTAAGCAATCCTCCTGACTTGGCCTCCCAAAGTGTTGGGATTATAGGTGTGAGCCACCGTGTCTGGCTGCGTGTCATAATTTATCAGTTGATTCAACATGCGTTATCTTGGTAAATCTTAACATTAAGATGAATTCCTGTACTTATGAAGACCTTGAAGGGGGAAAAAATTACTCTTATATAAACACATATACAATTCTTGTGCTTCGATTTATGCAAAAGTTATATGTTTTGGCTGAGAGCCATCACTTTCCCTACCCTTTGCATTTGTATCACCAGCATCAGCAGCAGAAAACAGATATTTTCAGGCATAAGCACCAGACCCACTTGCTAGTCAAGCAGGCTCCTTTGGCTTGGGCAAATTCATGTTCCTCCTCAGTGAATTCTAAGTTACTTTATATTGTGGACCTTGGGAGTCACTAAGAAGTGAAGGTCGTGACTGGCGAGTGCAGTGCTAAAGCATGGTGTAGTCTGGTCATGCCGGTCTCAGAGCTGCCATCCTGTCCACTCCTGCTTCTTGCCCCTGCTGAGTGCTTAACGTTCCTGGTCCTTTTAAAATATAACTTGTTGAACTTCAAGAAACCCTAAAGATCAGGTAACAAAGATTTTTAGAGTGGTTTTTGCTTTTCCTATTTAAAAAAGCCTCATTAATAAGCTCCATGTGATCTCTCATTCATTTCTTCTTTAATGTAAAATGCAAGACTTTTTGTATAATGACCCAGCAGGCCTCCCTGTCACACACTTTTTCAGGACAGGGTGATTGAGGGTGCTAGAATTCAACCTCTGAATACAAAGGATATTACTACAGGGGTATTAGACATGCTGTTGGGTAGCTTGTGGGTTGCTTACACATCCTAAGATAATTATAGCAAAAAAGAATAAGAGTTCATATTCACCTTATTTCCCAAGAAGAGTATTGTAAAATTTCATCATGTTTGATTTTCTTGCCTAAGTGGAACAGATTTTTTTTTTTTTTTTTTTTGAGTCAGGGTCTCACTCTGTTGCCGAGGTTGGAGTGCAGTGGCATAGTCACAGCTCACCACATCCTCAAGGGCAAGTTGTGCTCCCACCTAAGTCTCTGAAGTGTCCGGGCCTATAGATGCATACCTTCATGCCTGGCTAATTTTTTGATTTATTGTGGAGATGAGATCTTGCTATGTTGCCCAGGCTGAACTTGAACTCCTGGGCTTAAGCAGTCCTCCCACCTCAGCCTCCTAAAGTGCTGGGATTATAGGCCTGAGCCACATAATAGGCGTGAACCTGGCTGAAGTGAAACAGATTTTGATATTTGAAAATCTACAGCATGCTTTTCTTTAGAAACTTAAAATTTAGTGGCAGAAGTCAAGATTAACATCAGGTTTTCTTGGATAACTATGGGTGTCTGTAATTTAGATATTTTACTTGTGTATTCACTTTTTATTTCTATTTTTGCTTTTTTTGAGTTGGAGTCTCACTCTGTCACCCAGACTGGAGTGCAGTGGCCGCTCCCCACCACCGCAGCTTCGATCAGTTGGGCTCCGGTGATCATTCTGCCTCAGCCTTCCAAATAGCTGGAACTACAGGTGCGTGCTACCACACCCGGCTGATTTTTTTATTTATTGTAGAGATGAGGTCTTGCCAAGTTGCCCAGGCGGGTCTCAAACCCACGAGTTCAGGCAATCTACTCACCTCAGCCTCCCAAAGCTCTGGGATTACAGGGTGAGGCACCGAGCCCGGCTTCACTTTTTAAATATATCATGTTGTCCAGGTGCGGTGGCTCAAGCCTGTAATCCCAGCACTTTGGGAGGCCAAGATGAGAGGATTGCCTGAGGCCATGGGTTGGTGAACAGCCTGAGCAACTTGGTGAGAGCTCATCTCTACAATAAATCAAAAAAATAGCCGGGCATGGTAGTGCATGCCTGTAGTTCTGGTTACTTGGAAGGGTAAAGTGGAACAATCGCCTAAGCCCAGCAAGTTGACGTGGGGGGGCCAAGAGTGTACCACTGCACTGCAGCCTGGGCGATGGAGTGAGACTCCAACCCCAACTCCAAAATATATATATAAATATATACCGCACCTGGCCAACATGATATATTTTAAAAGTGAATGCACAAGTAAAATATCTAAATTGCAGACACCCATATTTATCCAAGCAAACCTGATGTTAATATGTGTGTTTGAGCCAGGCTCGGTGGCTCAGCCTGTAATCCTGCGCCTTTGGGAGGCTGAGGAGAGTGGATTGCCTGAGCCCGCGGGTTCGAGACCCGCCTGGGCAGGCGAGACCTCATCTTTACAATAAAATCAAAAAATTAGCCGGGCGTGGTAACACGCGCCTGTAATTCTGGCTACTCAGAAGGCTGAGGCGGAAGGATCACCAGAGCCCAGCAGGTCGAGGCTGCGGTGGCCGGGAGCAGCCACTGCACTCCAGTCTGGGCAACAGAGTGAGACTCCGACTCAAAAAAAAAAAAAAAATGTTTGTGTGTATATATACATATATATAATGTTTTACTTATAAGGTCAGCTACTCAATGCATTTTTTTAATATGATCAAACTATTAATTGAATATAATTAGATGACTAAATTGCAGTAGCATTGAACAAAAACAATTTATAAATAGACCAGGTGCTGTGACTCACACCTTTAATCCCAGCATTTTGTGAGGCTAAGGCAGGAGAATTGCTTGAGGACAAGAGTTCAAGACCAGCTTATTATAGTGATACCTGTCTCTACAAAAACTAAAATAAAATATAAATTAGCTGGGTGTGATGGTACGCTCCCATAGCCCTACCCACTCAGGAGGTTTTGGCAAGAAAATCACTTGAACCCAGGAATTTGAGGCTGCAATGAGCTATGATTGGGCCACTGCACTCCAGCCTGGGCAAAGGAGCAAGATCCCATCTCTTAAAGAAAAACACAAAACAAAACCTTATAAATAAAGTGACATTTAAAAAAGCATATAGTACTTCTGTTTATTTTTTGGTCAAGCTTTTTGATAGGTGAATTTTCTGAATTTATTGAATTTCCTTGTTCATTGAATCAGATAGACTTTTAAAAATACTGAATTGATTTTAAGCTATTTTATCTTAGTTGCTTTTAATAATTAGTTATTATAAAAATAGCACATATGTTCATTGCAAAATTTTCAGATAATCCAGAACCATGTTAAGTCAAAATTATTTCCTTCCTTAAAATCTCATTTCATTTATTTGTTTGTTTGTTTGTTTGTTTAAAGCAGGATTTATTGAGAAGATAGAAAAGCTCTCAGAGCAGGAGGGGATCCAAGGGGGTTGCCTCATTTTATTTTTATTTTATTTTTTGAGTAGTGGTCTCACTCTGTCACCCAGGCCGGAGTACATTGCCATGATCACAATGATCACAGCTCATGGCAGCCTCAACCTGCTGGGTTCAGGCAATCCTTCCACCTCAGCAACTCGAGTAGCTGGGCCTACAGGCACCTGTCACCATGCCGGGCTAATTTTTTTTATTTTTGTAGAGACGAGTTTTCGCTATGTTGCTGGGGCTAGTCTCAAACTCCTGGGCTCAAGTGATCCTCCCGCCTCAGCTTCCCAAAGTGCTAATTTCGTGCATAATTACTTTTTATGCAAACTTTAGTTATTAGACTAATAATGTAATAACTCAATTTGTATTTTATTGTTAGACAAGTACAATTTTTTTGTTTCAAATATTACATTGAAAAAACTGGGCCATTGTTTTTGCTAAGCACTGGCCAGGCCATGTGTTCTTTGAACTATGGCTAAGCCATGTTTTTCTAGCTTTGACCCTCTTCCCTACCTTGGGGAGGTGAATCCTTTCTCTCCCTCTCTCTCTAATTTACTTTTCTAAATAAACTATATTTTCCAATCTAAAAAAAAAGAAAAAGCTGACTGAAAATGTGTGTGTGGTTTACAAATAGAAGCTGTGGGCACCTGTGATAGGAGTAAGTACCTTTGTGATCTGAACCGTGAAGACACAATTTTCCAACAAGTTGTAGAAGTTCCTTTTTCATTTTGAAGATTAGCTCTTAGGAGCATCTCTTGCTCTGTTCAGAAGCATTAGACATTTGCTTATATTAACCATTTCCCAAAACAGCATCATATTTGCTGGACTTGTTAGTAATTCCAAAAGGAAAAACTTAGTAAACTTAGGTACTTGGGTTTTCAGATTCATCCAGAATCACATTTTAAAGGTTTTTTTTTTCCTTTTTCTTTCTTTTTTTTTTTTTAGGGAATTCAAGTTTGGACCAATGCTAAGGAATGCTTTAGCAAGATGTAATCCTGCGAAATGAATTTCTCTTCAATCAAAGTGCCCCAAAACAGAAGCACAAGAAAATAAAAGAAATTTAAGTTGCTACCCAGTATATATAAAAATATACAGTAAGTTGAATAAATTTAGCTTTCCTTAACCTAATTATAGTCGTGTTAATAGAGCACAAAAAGGATGTATTTTAATGAAGATTAAATATTATAATTTGAGGTTTTGGGGACTGGTGCTGATTCAAAAAAGTTAATTTAATAATATATACCAACAGATTGTCAGGCTTCTGAACCAATGACTGAATGTCAAGATGTTCATTACTTTTTAGATGTTTGTTTCAATGCCAGCTGTTTCAGATCTGTTAATGTCGAGACTTTTTTCCTAAGGTTAAATTCTATATTTACTTTGTAAAGACCCACTCACCTGTTATAAGGGGTTACTTTCTCTTGCCTTATAGTTGAGCTGCTTGGTTTGACAAAGCTCAGCAGAAACTTAGTGTGACAAATCTGAGATTTTCTTCCACATTCATTTGATGCCCCTTGTAACATTTGCATACACTAGAAAATGCCTTCAATGTGTGTTTTACCAGAATTTTAATACTGGTCAGAAATTTTATACTGCCAACAAAGAAGACTCAGCTTCTCAGATCACAGTGGAAGACACTGTTATGATCTAGCAATTGCACTGTAGAAAGTTTTAGCCGAATATGTTGTGTACCAGAATTCAACTCTTCTCAAATAATGAGTAACCTCAGTGACGAGCCTACATGTGTCCCGCTTGGCTCTCTACACTTGGCGTTTCAGGGTACAAAAGGTAGCATTTCAGTGCAAGACACACGCAGTAAGCATGTGATGGCATCTTCATTATTAACATCCTTCTTTTCTACTGCTTGGCTGTATTTTCTGTAAAGATAAGTTACTGTTTTTCACATGTGTTTGCGGCGTGTGTTCAGAAGCCAGGCGCCTCATCTTGCCAGCTCTGCTGTGTCCAGTGTGTACTCATTCTTTCTAATGATGTAAAAACAATCCCCAGTACTGTTGAGCAGCTGACTTTTTTACATGTTTAAAATGTTGCTGGATTTTTGTGCTGTTTGCCAAACTTACACAATAAATAAATGAAGTATTGTGCTGATTTTCAGATGATTTCTGTTATTTTCACAAGGTGATCCATACATACTAATGTCTGAGCTCTGGGAGAAGCCATGTTAACGTTTGGAAGTGTTAAATGCATAAATATGCCTTCCACCAAAATGTTGCTTTCTTTTTTTTTTCCTTTTTTTTGAGTTGTAGTCTCACTCTGTCGCCTTAATCACGGCCACTGCAGCCTTGACCTACTGGGCTCAGATGATCCTTCCTTCTCAGCCTTTCAAATAGCTGGAACTACAGGCATGTGCCACCACACCCAGCTAATTTTTTGACTTACTGTAGAGACAAGTTCTCACCAAGTTGCCCAGGCTGGTCTTGAACCCCTGGGCTCAGGCAATCCTCTCGCCTTGGCCTCCCAAAGTGCTAGGATTATAGGCTTGAGCCACCGTGCCCAGCTTTTTAAAAAGTTAATTAGAGAAGATTCACCTCCCCTTGGCAGGGGAGAGGAGGCCAAAGCCAGGAAGCATAGTGACAGCCATAGCTCAAAGAACACACACATGGCTACACCAGAGTCTAGCAAGGCAATGGCATTTTTTTTTTTTGAGTTGGGAGTCTCCCTCTGTCACCCAGACTGGAGTGGTACAGTGGCAGTCTCATGGCCACCACAGCCTCGACCTGCCGGGCTCAGGCAATCCTGCCTCAGCCTGCCAAGTAACTGGAACTGGAACTACAGGTATGTACCACCATGCCCGGGTTTTTTTTTTTTTTTTTTTTTAAATCTATTGTAGAGACAAGGTCTCACTAAGTTTCCCAGGCTGGTCTTGAACCCCTGGACTCAGGCTCAGGCAGTCCTCTCACCTTGGCCTCCCAAAGTGCTGGGATTACAGGCTTGAGCCTCTGAACCCAGCCTTAAATGTTGGTTTCTTCATACATAAGATGCTAAAATGAAATATAAATTTTAAAATTTCACTAGAATTTTATAAAAGATAAAGTTGATAGAAGCAAAGTCATCTTTATGGATACACATTTCATTCCACGGAATTGTGTCATCTCTTGACTACTGAGATGAAATACCTCTCCTCTTGGCATTTACAAATCAGGAGCCTTCTCCCCCATGCTAGCTTTTGACTACATGTAAAATGTCTTAGATTGTTTTTCTGCTGGAGGATTTAATTTGAGATGGCCATTGTTAACTACATTTTATTTATTTACTTATTTGTTTATCTGAGTCAAGGTCTCATTTGTTTTTGTGTTTGTTTATTTGAGTCAAAGTCTCACTCTGTCATCCAGGCTGGAGTGCAGTGGCACACACTTGACCTGCTTGGCTCAGGCGATCTTTTCGCCTTACCCTTCCAGCAGCTAGAACCCCAGGCGTGCGCCACCATGTCTGGCTAATGTTTGTTTTTTTTTTTTAGTTGGAGTCTCACTCTGTCACCCAGACTGGAGTGCGGTGGCTGCTCCCGGCCACTGCAGCCTCAACCTGCTGGGCTCTGGCGATCCTTC